TCAGAATGGGTGTCCCCCCTTCCCCATCCACTGACCCACAGGGTGGGCATCCCCCCTCCCCCATCCACTGACCCTCAGGGTAGGTGTCCCCCCTAGTCCACTGACCATCAGAGTGGTTGCCCACCTCCCTTCCCCATCCAAGACCTTCAGGGTGGGCATCCCCCCATCCCCCATCCACTGACCTTCAGGGTGGGCGTCCCCCTCTTCCCCGTCCACTGACCCTCGGGGGGCATTTCCGTCTTTCCCATCCACTGACTCTCAGGGTGGGCGTCCCCCCCCCGTCCACTGACTTAGGGTGGGTGTCTCCACCCACCCCCCCATTCCCCATCCATTGACCTTCAGGAGGGGCATCCCCCCATCCACTGACCTTCAGGGTTGGCGTCCCTGTCTTCCCTGTCCACTGATCCTCAGGGGGTGTCTCTGTCTTTCCCATCCACTGACTCTCAGGGTGGGCGTCCCCGCATCCACTGACCTTCAGGGTGGGCATCCCCCCATACCCCATCCACTGACCTTCAGGGTGGGTGCCCCCCCTTCCCCTTCCACTGACCCTCAGGAGGGCATCCCCCCTCCCCTGTCCACTGACCCTCAGGGTGGGTGTCCCCCATCCGCTGACCTTCAGGGTGGGTGTCCTCCTATCCCCCCATCCCCCAGCCCCCATCCACTGACCTTCAGGGTGGGTGCCTCCCCTTCCGCATCCACTGACCCTGAGGGGGGGCGTCTGTCTTCTCTGTGTCAGTCTGTCATGACACTGTGCACGCGTGTGTGGTGTGTGACTCTGGTTGTTCCATCCCCGTGGCAGCTGGTTTACCTAGATCCGTGGAACCATGACTCAGACATGTGGTGTGTTCCGTGCTCTGTTCTGCTTTCAGACGGGTGTGTCTGCGTCTAGTGTCAGGAGGGGCCACGTCCACGTGTGGGGAGGTTCTCGCCGAGGCTGTGTGGGGTTACGTGACAGCGGGGTCTCGGACTCAACGGTGTCTGTCCCTTCTGTCCCCGTTCTGGCTTTGTGCACCGAATCTGGGGCCGCCCACCTGGCTCTGAGCTCTTTGCAAGGACTGCCTTTGGTCCTCAATGCTGGGGTCACGGTTCCCCACATGGCTGACTGCCCGCCAGCCTCCGTGGGTGCCGTGGGTGCCGTGGTCTCATTTCTCTCTGGGGAGTCGAGCCTCCGCGGGTGTATCGGGAAGGGCCGGGATCTGGCATCCCCTCTCCCAGCGTGGGGTCCCGGTCCTTGTGCTCGTGCTGCCTGTGGGCGCGGTGGGCAGGCCTTTCCGCAGACACTTGGTGGACCGTCTCTGTCCCGTGGTTTTCCTGGAACACAGCTTCTCGTTCCCGTTTCTGGAGGCCGTGCAGATTCCCGACCCTCACACTGAGGCCTGCCTTTATGTCGGAGTCTTTCCTGCCATTTCTTGTTCCTTTGGAAACGGCCTCCTTCCTCCTCCTCATGGAATGGGCCTGCGTGTACGACGTTGAGATGACACACATTCCCCAGAGCGAGCGTGGAACGTTGGGGGCACGTCCTCGCCGTGTCGGGCCCCCCGTGTCCCCTTCTGTGTGTGATTTCTCCGTAAATCGGGAGCTCCTTCTCCCTCGCTGGTTTCCTGTTGAGTCCGACGCAGAGGAGCGGTCGCTGAGCAGACGTGACGCGGTGGTGTGGGTGCCCGTGGGACGTTTGCAGGCTGCCCGGCCCCCGCTGCGGGTCGTGGTCTGTGCCGCGTGGTCCCCGTCCCCCCGGCATCCTGGCCTCGGGGTGGCTCTGCACCTGTCCTCTGCGGGGGCCCTGTTTTCCGGGAGCGGGTCGTTCATGCTGTTTCACCACTGGGGGGTGCTGGTTGGGGGTGGAGGGGAGGCTTCTCTGGATGTCCTTGAACCTCAGTCCCCTGGGACGCGCCCTTGGCGACCCTGACCCCACGGCCCCTTGTGCTCCCGCAGCTGTTCCAGAAGCACGTGGACACGTATGGCCTTGGCTATGACCCCATTGAGTTCATCTGCGGCCCCTTCTACTCCATCCGGCTGCTGGCCCGACGCTTTGCGCTCACCCTCGGCTTTGACCGCACCCCAGACGCTGCCCACCTGATCCACAGGTGCGTGCTGGGACGGGGTGCTCTCTGACAATGCCGCCTTCTGTGCCCCACCCCTGGTCGGAGCCCTGCCTGGCGCCGTGCTCCCCGCTCTGACCCCCCCGCCCCTGGTC